CTCAGGCTGTGGGGAAAGACCCCTTTGGGGTTCTTTACCAGACATCCTGCAGATCAGACATTTACATTATGATTCTTAACAGTAGCAAAATTACAGTTATGAAGTAGCAACAAAACATTTAATGGCTGGGGGTCAGCACAACTGTACTAAAGGGTCACAGCATTGGGAAGGTTGAGAACCACAATCTTAAGTGGCAGGTAGTATATTTTTGAGAGACAAACGGATTCAGTAGCTACTCACAACACTTAGTTCAAATTTTGCTTTTTGTCCTCCTTTAGAGTCAGTTGTGTATTTGATACTTAAAAAAAGTACTAACAATACACAGAATGATTGGAGTTCCAGACTCAACTGTCTAGGCATCCATCCATCCACCATCTCTCTCTTTCCTGTTTTCTTTCTTTCTCTTTTTAATTTTTGGCATTTTTCATACAGCATCTCTACTAGACAAATACTGTGAATGCTATCACATTCCTGGGTAGTTGGCAGGTGTCTGTGGAGTAACATTGAAGAATAGACTTCAGAGAAAGGAAGAGGGAGAGGGGGAGGGGGAGGGGGGGGGGAGGGTGGGGGGGAGGGTGGGAGGGAGGGAGAGAGAGATAGAGAGAGAGAGAGAGAGAGAGTGCGAGAGCGCACCAGCCACAAGCGTAGAGCACCAGCTGCACCTTATAGAGCAAAGGGGAACTTCATGTCAGGTGGAAATGCGTTAGGAATGGTCAAAGTCACCAGCCTCGGCTTGCAGGTTAGTGGGAGGTGGCCACTCCAGACTCGCAGTCAGTGGTTCCACGTGGGCTGGTAATTGGTACTGGAAGAGAATCAGGATATCCTGTAGATATGGCACAGAGGTGATAGTTGGGGAGACATTGCTCGGTGGGGATGAGGTCCATGGCAAATGGACAAAGGGACAGTAGGCCATCTGTGCAGGAGCAGGCAAAGGGAGGGGGAGGAAACCTTGACTGTAGGCTCATCCTCCCCTCCTTAAGGGCATCAGACTCAGGGAAGAACCGACTTTACACTCCAGTCCTCCGCCTCCTTAAGGGCATCAGACGCAGGGAAGAACCATAAGGTTCTGAGGCCAGTGTGGATCTTTTTGAACATATAAAACAAAAGTTTAAGCATGTTCACATTTAACAAAAAAACCCTTTACTTTTTCATGAACTAGATGACCAGATAGTTACAAATATCTGCAGAGATAATTAGTAATTACTTTGTGTGTTGAATTACTTTGTACCCTACTTGAATAAAAGGAGTACTTCAAACTGGTTGAGAACCTAAGAGACATGTTACATGTAACCTTCCTTATGAGGGAACTTGCTGGAATGAGAACTACAACCTCTACCTGTAATAGTGTATTTATCTGGCTGAATTTCAAACTGCCCCACAAATCACAAGGCATAAAAATACATCAGGATGACTGAAGAGGTGGACAGCATTTTCCTGTGCCAGTTTAACAGAGAAGTCTGAGGGGGGACAGTCACCAACCTTTATAACACATATAAGGTGATTGGAGATAACCAGAACATTTTATTTAGAATAGGGTCTGGCTTTGTAGCCCAGGTTGACCTTGAATGCAAGACCTTCCTTCTTTCCTACTCTCCCTCGTTATAGAGTAACAGGCCTGGCTACCATGCCTATCTTTTATATCTTAAACCAAACCAGCCCTACAGAATATCAGTGCCAATCCAAGGGGAAAGTATGTATTGGGATAAATGAATATTAAATGGAATGATCTTTAGTATTGCCTTTTAAACAAAATTATGCTTCCAGTTTCATCTGAGAGTAAAAATCTGAACAAATATCTCTTAGTTAAATGAAAGAACCTGAAGAAAAATAAAGCATAAATATTTAGAGGTAAGAAGTAAAAATAATAAAAGACCCAAAATGAGCAAAATATAGGATTTAAAAAAATCATGCAGTTGTTCTTTTTCTCCCAGTTTTCAATATTTTATTTCCCAATTTTAGATAAAAATTCTATTTTTTCTGGGTTCTGTGCTTTAAGTGAAGCACTTGCAGCATACATGTGTCCACAGGCAGGAAGGAGGAAGGAGGAAGGAGGAAGGAGGAAGGAGGAAGGAGGAA